GTTGATCCTCTGGGCCAAAAATATGATTTGTAAGGAAAAAAATTTTACAGAAAATAGTATATGTATCATTTTTAAATTATAAATTTAGCTATCAATTAAAAGGATACTAAATCTGTATATAGTTTTATACTATTAAAATGCGTCACTTTATATCTTGCACAGTGAAGTGGATACTTTATGCAGACTTTTCTTATTTAAGCCATTTTCTTCTAATTTATAGATAAATTTTTGGCAGTGTGACTTAACTCTAGGTTATTTGAAGTCCTGTGTGTCAGGGTTTTACAAGTAACAGACTGCTATCTCCTAATTTGATAAACTTGCAGTATAATTGCTTATGAAAGCATAGTCATTAATAACTTTAATAATTTTCATTGAAAAATCATACTTACGTTTTGTCATTAATAGCCAAAATGAAGATTATAAACTGTCAAAGAAAAGATTCACTTCATACTGATAGTAAAAATTAGACTTGAATGTATAAAAACCATCTTTTTTTGAGAGAGATCTTGTTGCTAGTACTCTCTCTGTTCCTTTCTGTTGAAGTTTGGATAAGGTCATTTATGAAAGTAGACATCAGTTTCATTTTTTTGCAGAATGCAGATAAGAGTTACCTTATGATTGTGTAAGTACTAAATGAAATAACATTTAAAATGTCTTATGCTGTGCTTGGCATAGTTCTAAGCAGTCAGTACATGTTAGCTATATTGTTTTGGTAAAAGTCTGTCACTCCTACTATAAACCGATAGAATAAGGATCTTTAATTAAGACTGCTTAGGATTCGATTGGAACTCCTCTGCTTACCAGGTTGTGGGCAGTTTTCTTAAACTTTCTAAGAAGGCTGGTGTTCTTGTCTAAAATGAGGAATGGTTTTAGTACTTACCTCATGGGACTGTTGGGAGTGACTAAACGTAGTAACAGGATCTACTACATAATAACTTCTCAATAAATTGGAGTTATTATTCTATGGAAAGAATGTGTAAATTCTTGTGAATTTAGGCTTTCAAGGTGATATAGGGACTAGTTTTGTTTTTATTTCTAATTTTTTTGTTTCTTTTAAAAAATATATATTGATTTCAGAGAGGAAGGGAGAGGGAGAGATAGAAACATCAATGATGAGAATCATTGATTGGCTGCCTCCTGCACGCCCCCTCCTGGGGATGGAGCCCGAAACCCTGGCAGTGCCCTTGACTGGAATCAAACCTGGGACCCTTCAGTTGGAAGGCCAGTGCTCTATCCACTGAGCAAAACTGGCCAGGGCTGTTAGTTTCTTTTAACTAAAAAGTAGATTTGGAAGTGTGGGGGTCGGGGGAGAGGGGAGTTGTAATTTTCAGATTAAGAGTAAAACCTGTTATTTTTGACTTAATGGAATCCTTTAAAACAAAATTTTTAATGTAAGGTGAAAACCAGATTTCTTTATTCCAAGAACTGGTTGCTCTCATTTCAAACCTTTATCGTAGCCCTTCCTGTTGCTGATGGTTCTTCGAAATACTTGTCCTTGCTTCTAATTTGCTGCTTGCTTGCCTAGGTAGGATTCTTTCAAGGGAAAAGTAAATTTTGCTTCCAAGCCTAGGGGGTTGTTACTGGATTAGGTGAACCACTATAGATAGTTATTTTCTGGGTAAGCATCCACTTCTAGCCCTGTTTGTTTATGTAGGGCAAAAACAAACTTTCCTCCTCTAGCTCAGATCACTCTTCTGATGTGGCATAGAGTCACTTGAAGCTGGTCTAGATGGTGAGCCGTGGGGGTGGGTGAATGAGTGCTGGGGCCCTGCCAGTTTTCATTCATTCATCTGTTGGAATTATCTCCATTGTAGTTTTTAATGTCTCTTTGAGATTGTCATATACTAAAAGTTGCTTTTATAGCTTTCTCTGTATGTTTAAATACATTTATTTACTGGGGGTTTTAGCATCAAATTATTACTTTTGTTTTCTGATTCTCCTGGCTGCATTGGCACTGCCAAGTAAGTAGTTTGAATGCTTACTCTTTTTAAGAACCTATCTCAATAAAATGTCATCTAGCATGTTTTGCTTTAAAAAAACGGATCTTGAATAACTGAATATTTTCTAGGTAATGTCAGCATTAGTCAGCCACTGGAGAATTGATTCAGCTATTCTCTTTTTTAAAGCATTTTATGTGTTGGTGTACTGAAGCCCAGGGCACAATGGAGATTACTGTTGATACATTTAGGCACTTAACGTGTTTCCTTGGCATTTCGGCTCCTTGAAGGATTAGTATTCACCAATAGCTAATTTCAAAATCGCTTATCCTTTTTAGGGTTCTCAGGGAATTCAGTGTTTTTTAGGAGCCAGGGAGGGCATTTGGTAGATTGACTAGAAAAATAATTGTTTAAGCAGTGTTGATAACTGTGAGGTAGCTGTTGCCTTGACAACTAGAAAACTGTTCTGTTTGCGAAACAACGGGATGGTAATTTAGTAGTTTAATTTCCTCTTGGCATGGAGGTGTTACATAAAACATTTTATTTTAGCCACTGAGATGGTCTATATTATTGACCAAAATCAGAGAAGCAGAGCAAAAAGAGAAGGTAAGAGGTTTTTTTGTTTTGTTTTTGGTTGTATACATGTTCTTTTTTTTTTTTTGGTTGATCAGCAGCCTAGCCAGGATCTCTAGCCAGGATCTCCAGTCAAGTGCTGTGTGTTTTATTGTCTTGTTACATCTGTATTTATACCAGTTGATTTTAATCCTGTCAATTTTTATTCCAAAGGTTAGGGTGTTTCTTATCTCCATTCCAGGGAGTAAAGATTATGTGTTTCTTCCCTGCAGCGATTGTGTCAAGTAGCAAGGATGGACCGGCTTCCAGCAAATTCCCCCTTTTTTATTTTTTAAATGATAGCGCATGTAAATCAGCAGCCACCTCTCAGATTGGGTTAAGACTCGGAAGAAGACTGACAAGCAATGACAGCGAGCATAGCAATAAACATAGTGCATGGAGTGCGCACAGAGCCTTGTCGAAGGTTGCTGGTCTCCAGTCAAGGATTTCAGCTGTCCTCAAGTCGGTGGTCCTTGTTGATCTGGCTAGCGGGCGGCGTCACTGGCGATGGGCTTCCCTAAGTGTCAGCGCACTGAACGGCTGGGTCCTTCAGGGCCATGCTGGATGGTGGTGTGGACTTCCAGGGAGGAGTCAGCTGTGCCCTCTGGGTCAGCTAGGGGTCCCTGTTCGGGCGCCATCTGTTGGGTCCAGCCCCAGCAGGTCCAGGGGACCCCAAAGATGTGGACGGAGTTGGCGAAGAAGGAATGACACGGAGACAGCGTGCAGTTATCAGCAGCCTAGCCAGGTTCTCCAGCCAAGTTCTGTGTGTTCTTGTATACATGTTCTACCTGTCAGGGTGGGTGTTGGGCAAAAGACTCTTAATTAATCGGCTCACAGTTCTTTGTGTCTCTCTGTGTTGGACCAAAGTACAGTAGCCTCAGAATAGTTGTTTAGCCTTGGTTGTCTTTCTGTCACTCTAAAAGGTTGTGGTATACACTTCCTTATGGAGCATCCCACCAACTCTTAACCTCTCTTGCCATAGAATGCAACATGATTATTTCTGAATTGAATAAGGGGGATTATATTTATACACCCCCTCATATGTATACACAATTATACTAGCATCTGCTGTTTATGTGGGATCTTTTTTATTTTATGTTTTTATTGATTTTAGAGAGAGGGACAACCACCCTTGTCTTAGTTTATGTAATACCTCCATCTTTAAAAAGTTATTAAAATTATTTGATATAAATATGGACAGTTTTGTTACATAGCATTAGATAGAGAGATAGAAACATCACTGAGAGACACATTGATTGCTGTCTCCTGCATGCCTGCTACTGAGGATCGAGATCAAAACCCAGGCATGTGCCCTGATTGGGAATCAAACCCCGAACCTCTTGGTCCAGGGGACAAACAATCCACTGAGCCACCCCAGCCAGGCACATAGCATTAGAATTAAAAAAATAAATAAAAAATATGTTTTTGGAGATGCTAGCCACAACTATTAGGAGTGAATTTACTTTAAGATCCAAATGAAAATGATTTTTGCAATATTTGTTGCTGTATAACAGTGTTTCCCCCCTTACGTTTTATGGAATGTAATGGTAATAGATGTTAATAGGAAGAAAAAATAAGAGGTTTTTTGGACTAACCAGATTAGGAAATGATGAGGCAGAGTAGGAATTCATTCAGTAAACCAGTTTTCCTAAATTTTCCTTCCTTTTTTATTTTTTGGTGGAGCTTCTTGGGATATTAGTATTTCTACTTATGTAATCTTACTTTGGCTATGGAATTGATTAATATAAGCAGAACTCCTTAGAAATACAGATCCTACGTAAAAGTATACCTGGTTGTAAAAAGTCGGAGCGTCTACATTAGGACTGTTAAAACATAAATCAACAAGTGGGAAACCTCACATATTAGTTAAGGTTGACGGATAAACAAACAGTGAACCCATGCCTTAAAGCATTGGAGACATTTTGACTAAGTTTTATTGGAAACTTCCCAGATTGGATTTTGTAGTTTGAATACATGTAATTCCTCCTGCCCCTTTTATGCCATTCTGTCTAAAAGTTGTCTAGGTATTCTGAATTTGGGTGCTTGTAAAGATATAGCCTATAAGAAGAAATTTTCTCCGACTTTGAGCTTTAAGAATCTGCTTTTTCATGGTCGTGTAGTAAATATATATTTGAGTGGATGGTGGATGGAGGGGGTGTGAAGGAATGGTATATATTTGTGATTGAGCAAATTCATATTGTGAACCATGTGTATTTTAATAGAAAAAGATGCCTTTATATTTTATATTATATACATTTAGTGCATTTAAGTAGACTTTGATATATATATTTTAGTTATCTTTAAATTAGTGTATTTTACAAATTGTACTTGTCAACAAATACATAGCCAGTTATCACAGCTTTTATAGCTATAACAAGATTTGCTCTGCCATTCTGAGGCCTGACTGTGGGAAAGAATCAGAGTTTAAATCTAACTGGTTTGCATTTTTAGGCCCTGGATGAGCCTCCCTATCTGACAGTGGGCACTGATGTGAGTGCTAAGTACAGAGGAGCCTTCTGTGAAGCCAAGATCAAGACAGCAAAGAGACTTGTCAAAGTCAAGGTACAGTCTAGATTTTATAAATTATATATCCAATATTTACTATTTAAACTTTGGTGAGTATATTTAATAATTTTTCCTGCAAGATGAGTTTAGTTTCTAGGAGTAGTGGCTATGAAAATACCTGGGGGGAAAATCATTATTTGTGATTTAGAAGTATTTTAATTGGAATGAAGTTAGATTTTATATATATTTATATATATATGTATGCATATACTAATATATACACATATTTTAAATCCAAGGATTTTTAAAAAAATTGATTTTAGGGAGAGGGAGGAAGGAAGAGAGAGAGAAACATCTGTGTTAGAAAGAAACATTGATTGGCTGCCTTTGAATGCACCCCAACCGGGGATGGAACCTGCCATCTTTTGCTGCACGGATGACGCTCCAACCAGCGGAGCCACACCAAGCAGGGCAGGATATGGTTTTATTGATTTTAAAGAGGGGAAAAGAGATAGAGAGAAACACTGATGTGAGAGAGAAACATTAATCAGCTGCCTCTCACAGAAACCCCTATCGGGGGTCAAACCCATAACCTAGGTATGTGCCCTGACAGGGAATCACACCCGCCACCTTTTGGTTATACAACGACAGTTGAACCCACTGAGCCACTCGGTCAGGGCAGTATACTGAAGGCCACCTTACTATAGACTTGGTGTTGTGTGTGTGTGCATGTGTCTAATTAAATTTATAATCTCTAGGTAACATTTAGGCATGATTCTTCAACAGTGGAAGTTCAGGATGACCACATAAAGGGCCCACTGAAGGTAATTCATTCATTTATTCATCATTAATTCCAATGCTTCAGTGGTAAACGATTAAAATTATACCCAGTCATTTCTTTTTAATTCATTGACTATCTTGTTGTTGAATTGATAAGTATGTATTGCTCTCTAAATAGATTAATAGAGAAAATGATGAGTGAGAATCCTGGATCGGCTGCCTCCTGCACACCCCTTTACTGGGGATGGAGCCCGCCACCTGGGCCTGTGCCCTGGCTGGGAATTGAACCCTGACTTCCTGGTTCATAAGTGGATGCTCATCCACTGAGCAACACCGGCCCGACACTCTGCTCATTTTTTTAATCGGATGGTTTGTTTTGCTATTGAATTGGATGAGTTCTTTATATATTTTAGATATTAACCCTTTATCAGATTAATGATTTTCAACTACTTTTCCCATTCAGTAGGTTGCGTTTTCATTTTCTTGATAGTTTCCTTTCCTGTGTAGAAGTTTTTTAGTTGGCTGCAGTTTTGAAGACCATGTAAATATAACTCAGTATTTTCTTGATCAAATGGAAACTTTAAATGATTGTCATTAGTGTTACATTTTAACTCTTTAGGAGACTTCAGAGCCTATTCCTTAATTTTCCTCCCCTTCCTCCGCCTTCAAAGAGGAGTGGTTATATGGGGCACGGACAGTTTCACAGATGGTGGTTCCAGTTCTCAAAGTGAGGTCTGGACTCCTGGGGGTTCCCAAGACCCTTTTAAGGGAAAACGGGCACAACTGTTTTCATAATAATTCTTAGATAGTATTCGTCTTTTTACTATGTTGACACTTTCACTGATGGTACAGAAACAATAGTGGTAAAACTGCTGGTACCGCAACACAAATCAGTAATTTTATTCTTTCTACCGTGCACTCAATTAAAAAAATTAATAAAGCCAGTTTTTGGTTTGTTCACTTACCTTCTAAAAAGTTTTTCTAACTTTTAAAAATACTTTAGGTTGGAGCTATTGTGGAAGTGAAGAATCTCGATGGTACATATCAGGAAGCTGTCATCAATAAATTAACAGATGCGAGTTGGTATACTGTAGGTAAGAGAATCCATCTTCTAAAGAAGTTTTTTTCCAAAGATAATACAACCAAAGCCAAGTTTCCTTGATTTACTTCCTTCCCAGTGCCATAGATGATATAACTGTTAAGGGTTATCTTTCCAGATTGAAAAATTTGTTTTATTAATATGTGCATAACATAGTATTTGAAAATTATTTAGTTATGCATATTATAGCATTGGATTTCTAGCTTTTTTTCATTTCAAAGTGTATCTTAGAGAAATTTCATTTTCCATCTTAACCATTTTTTTTTTTTGATCGTCAGCCTAGGATATGTATATTGATTTTAGAGAGAGGAAGGAGAGAGAGACAGAGAGAAAGAAACATCGATTGGTTGCCTCCCATTTTAGCCCTGACCGAGTATTGAACCTGCAACCTTTTGGTGTATGGGATGATGCTCCAAGCAACTGAGTTACCCGGCCAGGGCCATTCTAACCATTTTTAAGTGTACATTTAAGTATATTTATCTGTTGAGTCACACCGGCCTGGCTGTTATCTCTTTCTTATTATTTTTAGTTTGTGAGTTCTTTTTATATTCTGAATATTTGCTGCTTTAGTTTGCAAGTACTTTTCTCATTGTTTTACTCATATCTTTACTATGTCACACAATATACGTATATTCTATGTATATATAAACTTACAGTAAATTTGGTGGGGCATTTTAGTACTTTAAATAAGTAGTTTTCAGCTGTGAGCAAGTTCATCACTCAGGGAACATTTGGCAATGCCTGGAGATATTTTTGGTTATCACAGCTGGGAAGGGGGTGCTGATGGCATCTAGTGGCCAAGGTTGCTGTTCAGTATCTACAGTGCACAGGACAGCTCCCCCGCAATGGAAGAGAATTATCTGGTCCAAATGTTAGTAGAGCTGTGATTGAGAAACCCTGCTTTAAATAAAAATAGAGTAATTCTTTAATGGCAGCCTGAATATATCAGTTTGTACTCTTTCTGTTTCTTAGCTAAATCTATAGGTTTTTACCAGCAGGAAATCTTGCTTTTCCTTTACCACATTGAGAAGGGTTAATAGCGTTTAAATAGTTTCATGCTGAAATGTTAACATTTTTATTTGGTGTTTTCTGTTTGAGGGAAGAAGGTTTTTTTCATTTAAGGTACATTGTTTCTTTTTTGCTAGAAATTGGAAAAGATACTCAATGTTTGAAGTTGTTTATTAGAAAACATAAAGTGTGACCTGAATTTTGAACGTAATCTTTGAAAACAATAAATAGCTCTCTTTCCGCTTGGAAAATTAAATAATTTATATTATCTTGTTAATCTTTGAAAAACTCTTCAGCAGTTTCCATTTTTACCTCCTCTCCTAGTTTTTGATGATGGAGATGAGAAGACGCTGAGACGGTCCTCACTGTGCCTGAAAGGAGAGAGACATTTTGCTGAAAGTGAAGTAAGTGACCATTTAACAAATGAACATCTCCTAATAGTTTGCTTTCTCAAATCAAGCAACTTATATGTTAATTAGGAAAATTCATCAAAACGTAATACCATTATAATATAGTCTGTGAAGCCTGCTTGAGGCTCTGTGTTTGAGTATTCTTTTTTGTCTTGTAAATGATTACAGGAAAGAGAGGTCCGATTTGTAACCCACTTGAACCCCATCATCATGAAAATAATGTAGTTACTACAAGCAATCCAGAACTGCTGTTGCTAGTAGCTGACATAATTGCAGCCTCCTTAAAGAAGCCTTGCCTGGCTGCTCTTTCTAAAATTGTCCCCTTCATCCCTCTTAATTGTTTTAGATTGGTTTCATTTTCTTTATAGCACATATTGTTCGCTGACTTTAAAATATGTGTCTGTGCTTGACTATTGGTCTATTATTGTCTGCCTTTCTCATTGGAATGTGTCAGGAGGGCAGGGATTTTGTGTCTTGTTTGCCACTTGGTTCCCAGTGCCTAGAACAGTGCCTGGCACAGAGTAGGAACTGAATAAATGTTCGTTGAATGAATAAATAAAGTGCTTATATTTCTTAGGGAAATATAAAACATTTCTCAGAGCTTTACATACATTATTACATTTACATTATGAAGTAGAAACCATTATTTTCTTTGACTTACAGATAATGAAACATGATTAAAGCTGGTTCTTAAACCAGCACTTTCTAGTATCCACTGAGCCAAACCGGTTTCGGCTAAAGCTGGTTCTTAAACCAGCACTTTCTAATACCAAATCCATGCTCTAAAATTAAAATGTGTTATTCAGCTACTAAGAAGGGAAAGTTCACAACGTTTTATAAATCTGTAGCTTGCTACTCAGAAGTTTTAAATGGACGTATGGTTATAAATAGTGCTATAGTCTCTAGACCCCATCCCCAGTCAATAAAAATTAATGCCCAGAGGGGCCCAACCATAATTTTCTAGTCACTATTTAGAACAGTGTTTTTTTGGGGACATTTAATATTATTTATTAAATCACTAGACTTGCAATGTAATAACTTTTTCTGGGTTTGTGTTCTTACCCACAGACACTAGACCAGCTCCCACTCACCAACCCTGAACATTTTGGCACTCCAGTCATCGGGAAGAAAACAAATAGAGGAAGAAGATCGAATCATATGTAAGTCCATTTTCATAACTGTTCGTTAAACCTGAATTCATTTCTCCTAGTGTTGCTCTAATAGTTACTAATTTTAAATTGTAATTTCAAAATGCTAACTGAATCTAATAGTAATTTTAGATCTAATAGTAATTTCAGACTCCTTAGCATCGGTCCTTGAGGTTCTCCATGTTCAGCCAACCTTAGCAGCTGGGTATCTACCTCTTATTTCTCCCTACATGTATGGGGATACTGTAGTCACAATGGAACGGGCCAGCATTCTAATTGTGGCCATGCTTTGGAGACAGAAATTGGGTGACCATAGCTCTCATATTACAGCAAACCCATGAAAATAGGTATTAGTTTTGTCCTTATTAAAAATTGGGGAAATTGGCTGCAGATACAATAAGTAACTAATTTAAGGAACACAGGAATGAAAGGATCCCCTTACTGGGGATCGAGCCCACAACCTGATTGTGGGCTTTCTCTGAAGCAGATTCGGCAGAATTTTTTGTTTTGTTTTGTGTTTCTTTTTTCCTTTTCAGTAGTATTTCTTACTCTACTTTTGTCTAATATCAAATAGACGGTTTTAGATCCCTTTTCTAACGTCTTTATAATTTACTAGTTCAATATACAATGTAACTGGAAGGAATTTTTAACAATACAAAAGAATCATATTGTACATTTTATGAATATTTGTGCATATTTGATGTTGAGAATAACAGTGATGATCTCTTGCCAGATTGTCTCCTCTCTCTCCCTTGACCCCCAGTAATAAAGATCTGCCTGCCTTCTTGTAAAATTAGCTTTGTACTGAGAGTGTAAAATTACTGTCTATAACTCCTTTAGTCTGAATGTAGAATCTAATATATTTTACTATGTATAGCTTGGGGGTATTTTATATAGGGCCTTCAGCTTTTTGAGAATTTGGGGACCAATGTTAGTCTGTTCTGAACTTTCCCTTAATTGTTTAAAATGGCACTAAATAAATGGGAAATATTTTTAGGAAAATGATGTGTTTTTCTCTAGTGATATTCCTTTTATGTTGGTATTCTTTAGAAATTTAGGAACTTAATTTTTAAATTAGCAGTTCTGTGGACATTAGGAAATGGGAAAAGGTTTCTAGAATGTCTGTATTTATCACCTTGGTGTGCTCATTCTTGGTGAAGTAAGTGAAACGTCTTACTGTTTATTTCCCTAGCCCAGAGGAAGAGTCTTCTTCATCCTCCAGTGATGAAGATGAGGACGACAGGAAGCAGATTGATGAGCTGCTAGGCAAAGTTGTTTGTGTAGATTACGTTAGTTTGGATAAAAAGAAAGCACTATGTTTTCCTGCATTGGTGAGTAACTTCAATTAAAGGAGTTTCATTTTCAACTACATAAGTTCATGAAAGAAACCACAGCTGCTTGTCGTAGTGTTTCCATTGGTGCAAATGGGGAAATGGCTTTAGCATCATTTCGTTCAGAGAAAGATTAACTCTCAGAATTGCCTCTGAGTACAGAGAACTCTCGAAGCCATTTAAGAAAGGCAAAATTCATAGGCCTTTGACATGGGCACTGCCTTTGGGGAAACATGCTTTATCCTCACTAAATAACAGCTGAGGCTTTTTCAAATAAAAGAAATCTTTCAATGTTAGCAGGAAATCTTACACGGACTCCAGAAAGGTACCCACTTTGAGGTGTTTACTTTTTAGAGTGGGTAGTATTACAAAGAAACGTAATGTGTTTTAAATACATATTTAACGGCAAAAAATATAGAACCCCGTCCCTAGCTTTTGTTAAGGATGGAGACTGTCCTGATGAAGGTTTTAATACCTGGTCCCATTTTGGGGCCTGCCCTTCTCTTACCGTGGTGCAGACCCTCGCTAAGACGCTAGCTCCACTCCATTCCGCTCTCCACTTCTCATAGGATGCGGTCTCCAGCTTCAGTCTAGTCAGAGCCACGCTTCTGCGTGCAGCCCGAGCCTGTGCCAGAGGCGGTGGGGGAGCCGTAGGCCTGGGAAGATGTTGGATATAAATTGAAATTACGGGTGGCTGTGTCCACATGTGTGTGTACCTGTTTGCCCTAAAATTAAATTTAGTTTTTAAACTAAGCTGAAAAACTACGTTCTAAAAGGATTTAAATAATTGGTTCTAATGTAACTATCCGTAAATGTGTATTTACTAACCATAATTTCACCCCTTTTTTATAAAGGTGGTTTGTCCTGATTGTAGTGATGAAATTGCTGTGAAGAAAGATAATATTCTTGTTCGATCTTTCAAGGATGGCAAATTGTAAGTATAACTCACTTGTTAATGAAAAAATATGCCATTTTTCCACATTAGAATGGTAAATGATAAAGTTATTTCCAGTGACATTACCTTTTTACTTTTCGCCATTCAGAAAGTTTCAAAGTATGATCGTTCTTCATGTTACTAGTAAGTGTAGTAGTATGTCTTTCCTTGTTCATGATGGTCTTTGCTAAACTACACTCTCAGTATTGTCTAATTTGTCAATTTTGCCTGTGTAATAGCTGGTGATTTGTTGAGGCAAATTTGATACAACTTCCATATCTAACCCTTGATTGATATGCTAGTGGATACATTTATGGTTCTTGAATGTTTAATTAGGACTCTTAAATTGTACCTTAAGTGTTAAGAAAGATATTTTTCATGTAGAACTTTCTTAGAACTGAGTTACAAATTTCTATTTTTTTCCCCTTTTAAGAATTGTGTGACCAGAAAAGCCATATCTTTTCTACTCTGCCTTAAAGGATGACTATATCTTTAAAGGATGATCATATTTTAAGATTGGTGTTTGGGTTTTCAAGTTCTAAAAAGTGATTTTTAAAAACAATCTATGAAAACCATGTTAACTAATAAATGGAGATAATGAGAGAAGTTTGAACACTGAAATTGAATACTGGTTTGATGATATTAAGAAATTACTAGTTTTTAAATGTGTGATAATGGTATGATTATATTTTTTAAAAGAATTTTGAAGCTCCATAATGAAATTATATGTCTGGGATTTGCTTCAAAATATTCGAGCTCAGGTAGGAGGGAGTAGGTAGGGGTATAAATGAAGCAGTGATGATCAGTTAATGATTACTGTAGTTGGGTGATGGATATGTGGGAAGTCATTGCACTATTTGGTCTACTTTTGTATATGAGATTTTAAAAATAAAAGCTTTTAAAAGAAATAGGCAAGCTGAAAATTGTGTTTGGAATAGTTTTCAGGCTTTGTGGTTTGACTGAAACAAACCAAATGCAGGAAAGATGAATAATCTTTATCAGTGTCAAACAGGAAATATATGTGACATGTATGATAGAAACTCTTACAGATGCTTATATCTGATCCCTCTTTGTAGTTGAGGACTTTAGTCTAAAATCCAGTTAAAATTTTGTTAAAAGAACATTCACATTATAAACTAGTACATTTTCTTCCAGTATTAAATTTAGTAATTTCCTGTGATTATTCCAAGATAATGGCAGGTTCTTATTGTTTGACTTTTTACTTATTGGATTGATGCATTCTGCCACCCAAACATTTTTATCTGTTGTTATTTTTAGTATTTAAGTACTTTTCATTTAGTATTTCATTGCTTTTAGCCAGGGGCCCTTGATAATTTGAGAATACCTTGTTTATGAAATGTCTCTATTAAAGGTGGGGTTCTTTTGTAGATGATTACGTGTATTAACATTTTATCTGTAACTTGCACCCTTGTGTAAATGTCAGTATTCCCATATTTTCAGTAGCTTTCTGTGGTGTGTAATTAGGCTCTTAATTTCTGTTGTATTTTTGTGTTTGCTTTTTTTTTTAATTGAAAAAAATAATACAGTACTTCGGTACCAAGAAAGGATGTCCATGAAATTACTAGTGATACTGCACCAAAGCCTGATGCTGTATTAAAACAAGGTAAGGGTAATCTTGAAATCAATTGTTAATTAAAAAGACTGATAGTATTTTTGGAGATTAAGTTTTCTTAGGTTGGGGTGGGTTGGTGGGTAGAGATTAACCAGCGAATTTGTGTGCATATCCGCATAGCCATGGACACAGTAGTGTGGTGAGGGGGAATGGGTTTGAGTGGAGGTCAAGGGGGGAAAAAGGGGACGTCTGTAATACTTTCAATAATACATTTTAAAAAAGGATGTTTTTTTAAAATTGCCATTAAAGTTATACTTAGCTTTCTGTGACTTTGTGTTTTGTAAACCCATGTGTCTTTTGTTATCATAGTTTCCTTTTTCTTTTTTTCAGCTTAATATTATTTAAAGTGTGAAAGAACTATATCAGCAGCTATTGCTATAGTCTGGCTTTTGCCTCTAAATAAAATGTTAGTTCCTGAGGATGGTAGAAACAGGAATCAAAGTAATTTTGATGTGGCATTTCTCGTACCATAATAATAGTTATCCTATATAATAAAAGCATAGTATGCAAATTGTCCCCTTGGCTGGGAGTTCATCTGGGAATTCACCAGGGGCAGGGCTGGCCAGGCGAGGGAGGAAGTACCTGGCGGGCAGCCGGCAGCCGCTAGGGACCTTGGCAGTGCACAACTTTGTGCACCGGGCCCCTAGTACTTATTAGATTAGATTATTCAGTGGTTATATTAAATGCTATAATTGCATTTCTTACTAGGTTTTTGCCATTGTGTATAGCTGCTTATTTTCACTTTGCCTATATTCATCAAATCTAATGATATGTTGTGTAGACTGGTTAAAAATCATCAAGAATTTATGGTTTAAAATTGATTTCCATGTATTGTAAAATGAGAATTACTGCATAGCTAGTTTTAATTGAAGTTAATTGTTAATATAATTCAAGTTCAGCGATCTAGAGAAAATATTTATATTTTCAGGTACTGTATGTTCATTACAATGGTTCTGCCTGGCATGTGATTCTATTTAATTGTCACTTGTTGGGTAAACGATTAAAGATTTACCTAACCTAAGTATGTTTTTATTAGACATGCTTAATTTTTATTTAAAAGAAGAAAACTGCTCTTTTGTATTTGTTAGGGCCTAGGTCCCCTTCCAATAGTAGCAGTTTTGTCATGTATAAAAGTGGCTGCCTGATGCTTAAGACTGAGAGGATTAAATGAGCAGCTACACAGAAAAGCGGTCAGCTCAGTGCCTGGCACACCGCAGGCACTGATAACTGTCGGCGGTATTTACACAATGGCCTTCATTTCTGTATTTGTTTACTATCTGTAGACAAGTCAGTTGTCTTCTTTCTCCAGTTCACTGGTTTATGGTCTCTTTCCAGCCTTTGATCAGGCACTAGAGTTTCACAGAAGTAGAACTATTCCTGCTAACTGGAAGACGGAATTGAAAGAAGACAGCTCCAGCAGTGAGGCAGAGGAGGAGGAGGAGGAGGAGGAAGATGAGAAAGAAAAGGAGGATAACAGCAGTGAGGAGGAGGTAAGTGAAACAGCTGAGGCCTTTACATTAAAATTCCAGTTGGGTTTTCGTGTTAGAATTTGGCGCATAAGTCATTAATTACTTGAGTACTTTTAGTATTAGAAATATTTCGTAATAAAATTGTATTTGTGATACTCATCGTAATCAAGTAGTTTGCTTGCTTACCTTAAAATAGAAATAGGGTCTTGTGAAAATAAAACTAAGTATAGATGTCCCAATAACCTCAGAAATGTTTCCTAATTTTATTTACTGTGCTTTCGGTTTAACTGATGATTAAGGAAATACCCATCTAACATAGCAAAGCTTTCACATGCTTTTCACTGTCGTGTAGATAGCTGTCACCTCATACAGTGTTTACATCTGTGTATTTTATTGAAATACCTAGAAAAGTACAAAATACATATTCCACCTAGTATTAAAAGAATAAGTATAAAAAAGTAAAGGTTAATGAGAATCTTAAATGATTTTATCTAACATAAGTGGATGTGTAGTTCTGATAAGATCATAAATAAGACATCTGAATTTATATAGATAAAGAAGCTGAAGTTTTAGATTTTGTTGTAGCTAGTACTTTAGGTCTTAGCAGCGACAAGTACCGAGAAAAGATGCCCATGATATCACTAGTGACATTGAACCACGGTACTCTTTCATGGTTTGTTGAGCGATAAAGAAGCTGAAGTTTTAGATTTTGTTGTAACTAGTACTTTAGGTCTAGCAGCGACAAGTACTGAGAAAAGATGTCCATGATATCACTAGTGACATTGAACCATGGTACTCTTTCATGGTTTGTTGAACGACTTTATAAAAGTTATTGGGTGAGAGGTACAGATAGCAAAGGCTAGTATATTTGATCGTGAAATGAATTGTATTTAATGTTTTCAGGAAACTAAATTCATGTCAATATGTATTTTAGGTAAGTTATGAAATTCTGCCACATAACTATTATTGGCATAGGGTTGTTTTATGATATAATAATCTATAGTGACAATGTGTGGTGTAAACGTGTCCCTGGTTTCAGTCTTCTCTAATTATATACCTTCTACTACTCACTTTTGCACATACTCTACCCCACAGTGCCCTTCCCTCCTCTTCCCTCCCCCAGTCAGCCTGGCGCCCTCCTGTTCAGTTTTCAAACCCGACATATGTCACCATTGTAAGGGGAAACCTTCTGTAAACCATCACCTTTCTCACCTCAGGAAAGTTAATCCCTCGTTTGCTAGTCCATATGGTCCGTGTACGTATTTTGTCAATGTACATAAGTACATTGGTTTATGTCTGTTTCTTAATTCCCCTACTAATCTGTAAGCTCCTCAAGGGTAGGGACCTTGTCTTCCTTGTACTTACTATATTCAGTGTCTGACACAGTGTGTAACGTGTAACAGATGATCAGGAAATGTTAATTACCAAACGGTTGGTGCTTAGATTTGTGTTTTTGTGAAAGCAAATCTGGTTTCCAGTTTAAACATTTTTTGTGTCATATATAAACTTCATTTAAAAATTTTGCAACAGGAATTAATTTGGCAGTTTATGAAAGTCAAATATTGTACCATGGGAACATTAGGTGATATCTAGAAAATAGATGTCCTTAGACTTAACACCTGACTACTTTACCAACACGCAGCATATGTGGGCCATCTTTAAATTGAGAAATACAGATTTATCCTAAACAAGTTAATAATTGTCATTTACTCTCCCGTGCCCAGCTAGCAAGCCTAGTAATTTAACCACATGAGTTTTTGTTTTTAACTGGCCTTCCTCGGTCCGCTAGCCTTTAATATAAAGGGGTAACATCTCATTTAAACAATGGCATTAGACACAGTTTTAAAAATTAAAGAGATTTATTTAGACTATCAGTAGAAAAGGATGCTCCCACCTTTACTATGAGAGCTACATTGGCCTCAGCCAGAGTAACTGTAGCCTTGGTGTATAGTTTGGACCACTTGCTCTGCAGTTACTCTTAGTCATTGCTTATTTTTCTTTCATTGATTCAGCACCTGACCTAGTGCGTCCACCGACTGGTGCTCATAAAATGTTTATGAATGGATGATAGTCACTGAATTGATGAGTTCCTCCCTCTCACCTACTACCCTGCTCCTTGCAGGTTGCTTCAGGACCAGCTCCCCACTGCCACAGCCCCTGGCCACAGCAGCAAGAAGCTAGTCCCTCCCTTGTAATTGATAAATCGGGGAACTATTTTATTACTTGAAGATTTCCCTAAGTCTGAATCTTCAGGTATTGTAGATCAAGTTTGTTCCCCACTTTACCGATTTGACACGCTTGCAGTACTACACAGTGGGCTGTGTGTAATGATGGACACTTGTAGTTACAGCTACTGGGACCCACACTTGTGCAGTTCTATGAGGAGCAATAATCGAGTCAGTTTTGATGTTAAATTAAACCCTGACCCAATTGCATAGAAGGGAGAGTAGGTCTTCGTGAGCCTGTGACCCTGATTTAAAGAATTGATCTCTTACCTGGGATAAACCAAAAGTTGGTGAACCGTCTTTGTAGTCTCTTTTCTCATATGAGAATTTACAGTTGGGATTGTCACTTTGGAAATGCCTTTTAGGACATATTCCTCTGTAAAGCACAAAATGTCCAGAATTTTCTGGGTTTGAACAGCTTAGTATTAAGAAATAATTTGTATTTGATAAAAAGCCTTTAAAATATTTTAGTGAGTATTAGTCTTTGCTGTTGGTAGGAAATCTGCTTGTTTTATTCAATGCTTAACTGAGCAAAATAATATTCTACTCTTCTGTAACTAAAACAGGAAGAAATAGAACCATTTCCAGAAGAAAGAGAAAACTTTCTTCAGCAGCTGTACAAATTCATGGAGGATAGAGGTGAGTGTGTTGTTTTTTTTATTAATGTTGTAGGTATCCGATATATAGTTAATATTTTAAAAATAATAATTCTGTTCATTAAGCTTCCTATTCCTGGTAATCATGGCTGTCTTTTTGGTTGCCAATATCACCAGCACCTAGCATAGTGTCTGTCCCTTGGAAAGTGGAATGAGGAATTTGACAGAGTTTTGATAGATACATGGCCGTGGGCCCAGAAATGCCTGTGTTCTGTTCTGTCGTTTCTTCACTCCCATCAGCACTCTTATCCCAAAGAACTCTGACGCTAGGGAGCAGCAGCAGAGGGGGAATCGTAGTAGCGACATTGTAATCGCACCTACATACATGCCACTAGGAAAAGGCCTTCTTCCCCAGAACCACTGTTTGACATACGTGTGTGTGTGTGTGTGCGCGCGCGTGCAAACGATGTGACTACACTCTAAGACGGACGGACCCTAAGTCTTTTTATAAAGGCTCAGCCTCACAGCTAAGAGAATGAAGCCAGAAACACAGAGCCAGAGTAAAGAAGTGTGACAGTATTCCAAGGTGAACCTTGGCTTACCTCATTGAACCCGCCTCGTGTTGTCACATAAATGCAGGGGTTGGGGAAAGAGGGGCAGGTGCTGACCTTTGGTGGTAACCCAGTTCTCCAGGAACTATTGGACTGTTAACTTCTTGCTCATCTGCTCAGAGTGTAGTTTCTCCTCTCCCGGAAGATGCGAGCAAGGGAAAGGAGGCGGGAGAAGCCGAAAGCTCTCTAGCTTGAGGAGAAGGACATGATTGAATAGGATTTGGAAATGCCACTTTACTCTGTAATTATTTTTTTTTTTTAAATATACTTTATTGATTTTTTACAGAGAGGAAGTGAGAGATACAGAAAGCTAGAAACATCGATGAGAGAGAAACATCGATCAGCTGCCTCCTGCACATACCCCAGTGGGGACGTGCCCGCAACCCACGCACATGCCCCTGACCGGAATCGAACCCGGGACCCCTCAGTCCGCAGGCCGACGCTCTATCCACTGAGCCAAACCGGTCTCGGCTACTCTGTAATTATTTTTAAATCTCCGTTTGCTTGCTGATGAGTAGAAGCTGGCTGTTTGTCTTTTGCTCTCATAAATGATAGTGGCTACTTTAATGTAGTTATCTTTTTATAGAATATACATTGTCCTTGGTTCCTGTGTTATTTCTTTGTATAAGTGGAGGTTTGGCCTAAGAAGGTAGGCTATTTCTTAGGCTTTTATGTAACATAAATAAAAAGTGGTGAATAAAGTCTAATATTAGAACAGTAATAAAATACGATTATGCCAGTCATATTTTTTGGAAAGGGCTTTGTTCTTTTATTTCCTCTACCATTTTCTAAAGGCATGATAGTTTGTGTCCTTGCCCTACATTTTTCCGTATTAAAGTGAAAGAAAACTATAGCTTTACTCTAGTACAGCGGTTCTCAACCTGTGGGTCGCGACCACTTTGGCGGTCGAAAGATCCTTTCACAGGGGTCGCCTAAGACCATCCTGCATATCAGGTATTTATATTATGATTCATAACAGTAGCAATATTACAGTTATGAAGTAGCACCAAAAATAATTTTATGGTTGGGTCACAACAGGAGGAACTGTATTTAAAGGGCCAGAAGGTTGAGAACCACTGCTCTAGAATCATTTAGAGAAGTAGCAATTTAGTAAAATGCAAAGAAAATAAGCCCTGGCTGGGTAGCTCAGTTGGTTCGAGTGTTGTCCTATCTGCCAAGGTTATAGGTTCAGTCCCGTGTCAGGGCACATACAAGAATCAACCAATGAATGCATAAGTAAGTGGAGCAACAAATCAGTGTTTTTCTCTCATCAGTAAAGAAAAATTAATCTTTAAAATGCAAAGAAGTTATAAAGATAACTCTCAATGTTAAGCAGTTGCCCATCATTTCAGCAGTTTTACCAAACCTTGTTTCCCTGATTTTTAAAATTATTATTGTGCATTCTTTGGTATTCTTTAACTCATAAGGGGAATAAAAGTGGAATGAAATCATACAAGGTTTCAACAACCTGGTAAGAGGGGAAAAATTTTAATGAAATGGGCTTAAGTAGAAGACATGCTTTTTGTTTTTTATTTTTTATTGATTTTAGAGAGGAAAGGAGAGATAGAAACATTAATGATGAGAATCATTGATCGGCTGCCTCCTGCATGCCCCCTATTGGGGATCGAACCTGCAACCCGGGTATGTGCTCTTGATTGGAATCGAACCAGGAACCTTACAGTCTGACGCTCTATCCACTGAGCCAAACCAGCGAGGGCAACAGGACATGTTTTTAATGAACAGCATTCCCCCCCATATATGCAGGGTAGGACAAAAATAGGTTTACAGTTGTTTGTATGGAAAGTGCAATAAATTAATAAATACATAAGAATAAACTGTTTAGACTCACAACTGTAAAGCTACTTTTGTCCCACTTTCTGTGTGCGTGTACGCACACACCCTTTGCACTGTATTTGAATCTTTGGAAATTTTAAATACAAAAATGCAGTGCGATTTTAATATATTTTGTGTTTTCCTTAATAGGCACACCTATTAACAAACGACCTGTACTTGGATATAGAAATTTGAATCTCTTTAAGTTATTTAGACTTGTACACAAACTTGGAGGATTTGATAATGTAAGTATTACAATCAAAAGTGAAGCATGTTTTTTATACATGTTTTCTATCTAAATTATTTATTCCAATTAATAAAAAATGGAAATGACAGGTTAGGAACAGAGCTGGCTTCCTCAGAACAAATTAAAATTTAATTAAATATTTTTTAAAATGAGCTTTCTGACTTACTGTTAAGTTTGTCAAACTTTCATAAACCACCTAGTTATGTCTGAAGTCACAGCATAACCATATCGATGGAAATTCTTGCTTACGTCTCCCACTAAACTAACATACTTGGGAGCATGGATCTGTGTTAATCTTCTTTATATCTGTAATCTCGTCCACTGTGCCTGATATATATAAAACATATCATCCATATAGGTGGTTCTACACACATGCAGAAAACCTTTTGTTGAACTAGAAGAAATTATCTTAAGATTGCCATGATGAATGGTGCTCATGTAATTAAGACTGAAAATTTTTTTCTGCAGAATCAGATGCTTCAGTAAAATCCATAGAACTGCTTTGATTTATTAGCTTGTAAGTTTTATGGGACATGATACTTCATTTTAAGATTTCTATCTTGGTTTCTTCATTATAAATTTTGATTAGGAATTTGGACATTTTCTTATTTACGAAAGCAGGGTTTATTTAAAATGAAGTGGTATAATATTTCAACATTTGTGAATTCTCTGAGATTTGTTAGAATACTAAAACTTATTTTAAAATGTTGTGAATCAATTTTTTATTTAGTATTTATTGAGATTGATATTTTTCATCCATTTGAGACTAAAATCAATAAATAGAAATATATTTGTATATACTACATTTATAAAAATATTTTTAAATTCCTACCTTTAATTTGGAAGTTTTCATTTCACTTTGTCCATTAGATTGAAAGTGGAGCTATCTGGAAGCAAGTCTACCAGGACCTTGGGATTCCTGTCTTAAATTCAGCTGCAGGATACAATGTGAAATGTGCTTATAAAAAGTAAGTCAGCGTACTTGCTATAGCTACATTCGGTATTTTATTTAGAAAGCAGGGTGGGATGTATCCCATACCTGAGGCTCTAAGAAGAAATCAGAAATTTTCGCTGGAGTAACCACTCTATAATATAACATTTTCTAGAGTGTATTCTATGAACACTAGATCTACGAGATAATCTGTGAAGAAGTTTTTGTGGCCAAGTAAATTTTGCAAGTACTGTGTTAGGTTAAAATGCCAAAGTTTTAAAAGTTAGGTGTGCACAAGTTTGATTCCTGGTCCTGCCACTTACTAGCGATCGGTGCCCTTGGACCATGCCTTCGTTCTCCTCAGCCTCTGTCCTCATCTGTAGAATGAGATGGTACTGTTTGCCTCGTAGGATTACTCTGAGGATTAAATGAGATTTTACATGTACTTAGAGGTCCAACGCCTCACTTACAAAGACGTGCTCAACAAACAGGCTATCACTGGAACTTGTAAAAGCTACTGTTGTTACAGTCAGTGTATTTAAGATTATGATTGTCTTCTCACTTTTAGCATAGTTTTTTAAATTGAGACTTTCTTTGAAAAATGTTTCTATTTGGGTTAAAAAGATTGGGAAGAACTGAACTAGAATAAATGAGAATGTTAAGGCTCCATATCTGAAAAACAAGAGAAACGAACAAATTTAAACCACCACAACTCTACAGTAATATTTCAAAATTTTCCCCAAATGTAATTTCTCTTCATGTTTCTAGATACTTATATGGCTTTGAGGAGTACTGTAGGTCGGCCAATATTGAATTTCAGATGGCACTGCCAGAGAAAGTTGCTAACAAGCCATGTAAGGAGTGTGACAGTGTAAAAGAAATAAAAGTTAAGGAAGAAAGTGAACCAGAAATGAAAGAAATAAAGATTGAAGAGGAGGAGAAGATAATAATAAAAGAAGAAAACCCTACTGAAGATGATGTTGAAAGAAAGGAAAATATTAAACCCTCTCTGGTAAATCAGATACTGTCTTTTCCACCTTTGGTACACTTTCTGTATACTCTAAAGATTTGTTAATTTATGGTATAATTTTATACTTAGATAGATTAGATTGTGCATTTTCTTTAGTAAGTGCTATTTTGGTGTTTACAGTAGCTGTTCAGTATTTTTGCCTAGTATTTTAAGAATGGCAGGAGCCAAACCGGTTTGGCTCAGTGGATAGAGCGTCGGCCTGCGGACTCAAGGGTCCCAGGTTCGATTCCGGTCAATTTAAAAAAAAAAAAAAAGAATGGCAGGAGTTTCTTAAAATAACTAATAACTTTTTCAATATTATCATTGGTTGTACCTTTTTTAATTAGATCATGGAATTAAGTTGGTAGTATTTACTTTTGTTGGTTTAGTTGCTCTGATCTTTTTCTAGGGAAGTAAAAAGAATTTATTAGAATCTATATCTACACAAAGTGATCAGGAAAAAGAAGTTAACCTAAAAAAGACAGAAGAAAATGAAAATCTGGTCAACAAAAATGATGAGACAACTGGGTTAGATGAATCCCTCAGCATAAAGGTAGAAGCTGAAGAAGAAAAGGCAAAATCTGGGTAAGAACTCCATTTTTGGTTAAGATGCATTTTGGCTGAAAGAATTCTTGTCATTTTCTCTTTGTATGTGCGTGTCTGTATGAATCAAAATTCAATTGACAAAATATAGAGTAATTGGCTGATTTGCACTTATTACATAAATAGCATTTGCCTACTTCAGAGACCCTACTAATGCAAATGTAGCAAAAGGTCATGGTTTTGATTCATTCTCTTTGCTCTCATCATGGAAATTTATAAAATTTTCAGCTAGAGAAAAGTACTTCTTACTACATTAGGCTCTGCTAAATAACCAGATAATATAAATTTGGGAAAATGATTTTCTCCAATGTTTATAGGTGGTATGTTGGCTGTAGATTTTGACAGTTGTATTCATTTCTTAAGCAAAAAATAAGAATGGAAAAGTGCTAATACTTAATTTTTAAAAGGCCGAAATTGTTATGCTGTGTTTTATGTGCAAGTAGCATTTACTTGTTTTGCTTAATTTGGAATGATGAAATATTTAGCAATGTAATTTGTACACTGCCAGTGGACCCCTGGATTTTATAGATGATCTTTGGTGTCTAATCTTATTTCTGAGGTTTAAAAAGGCTAAACATTCCTTATTGCTAGTGGCCCATTTAAATAAGTACAACCAGTGTTTTTTAATCATTTTAATATTTTTCTGAAATTTGGCCACAGCATGAAGCCAAGGAGGGAGGAAGAAAAAAGAAAAACATGTTTAGATGAATATAGTAAAAGGTATTTATCTGTTACGTATCTGTGTGTACAAATATATATTTCACGTATTCCTCACTGCTATTGCAACTGTTAAGAAACTTAGTGAGTACCCAGCTTTTTGCCTAAAACCTCTTGATCATTTTAGTGTTATTTTGCAAATTTGGCCTCAGCATGCAGATAAACTTTAAAGGAAAAACAACAACACTGGGTTTAGATGAATATAGTGTGTTTGTTCATTATATTTGGTTGTAGTTTTCTGTATGTAAATGTTTGTTTGAAATTGTACATGCTGCTACTGGAGACTATTTTAACTATTAAGAAAGAACTTAGTGAGGATTCAGCTTTATGCCTAAAAATCTGACACTTAAATCTGCAGCTAGTTCTGGAGCATCTGCTGTGTCGAAGGCACTCTAATAAGCCTTTATTTTCTCTTTGTTACTAGTAATTATCTTTATTTTTCAAATTAGTACTTCAAAAACATTATTGTTAGTATAATCTGTATTTTGTAGGGTTTTATTAATTCATTTAATTCTTCAACTAGATGGTTTTCTTACTTACTACAGAGATACATACGTCATACCACAAACTGAAATTACCCTGGTGTGACTGCCCTAGTTTGATAGATATTTTTTAGAAGCATTATGTGTTAGAAATGCCCAAAAGTGATTTCTGAATTTTATTAGATCAGTGCAATTATAAAGAATTAACATTTAAGTATTTCTCTAATATATAACTTCCGCTAAGTAATTAGCTACGACCAAGAATTTTCAATAGCCTGCCCCCGTATTCCAGTATCTGGTCCCTAATAGGTATTGATAAGTTGTAGCTTTTTTCTTTTAATTTGTTTCATTGCAAGGAGTGTCACATCAAACTGGGAAAATTTGATATTTCTTTGCGAATTCAGATGAAAAATCCTTGGTGTGTGTGTGTACATTTAAAGGCTATCTTACTTGGCATTGTGTTGTATCTGGTTTAGTGCACTTACCTCTGATTTTGCTACTGAATTCTTAGAAAAGTAGAAGCATTTTCTATGGCTGATTCAAGCCAGTAATTGTGTTGTCTGATTATTTATACATCAGTATATTATTGTCATGACTTTGATTTGATTTGTGTCTGAAGTTGCTGTTAAATGTGAAATTTTTACTATTTTTTTATTGTTTTGTTAGTACAGAGGATTGGGTTTTTATTCCAGATTAAATAAAGATTACTCTGGCTACCACTTAATGTAGGCTTGTGCTTGCAATTCTTGGCATGTATCAGTTGTGCTGAGCGTATTACATGATGTAAGATAACGTTTAGAATTGTTTTCAGTTTTTAAAAAGTTTAGACTTTTTAGTCTGTCTTTCTCCTTTTACATCATGATTCTGAGGTGCATGATAAATCTCTTGTTTTGTTGTGGCCAGCACAATACATTTCCTTTTTTCCCTGATATTTTAACTTTTAATTTTATATATGTATATAGTATATATTATACAGATAAGACATTTAAGTTTGTTAATAATAGCTTATTATCCATAACACCCTTTCTGATAATTTCTTAAATATTTTAGCCTTACTAATCTTTAATTTTAAAGCTGTTAATGTATTTTCAATAATAGAGTTCATATTTTTTATCTTAGATTACAGTAGGTTTCCTTTAGGTTTTAAGTATATATTCCTTTGGCTGTTATTTATTTATTGATTGATTGATTGGCTGGTTGTTGAAAGTATTACAGATGTCCCCTTTGTCTGTCTGTTTTTCCCATTGATACCCTCCACCCCCACCCACTCTTCCCAGGCCTTCACTCATTTGGCTGTAGATGAGTCTTTAAAAGAGGAATAGTTCTTGAGAATCCTTATAGACTTGGTGATTTATTTCAGAGAAATTTGACGCTTTCATGAACTCAGACTTAATTTCACAAGTTTATTGTGCTTCCCTTCATCCCTCACTGTATAGAAGGAAAGAAATAAATTAAAAAGGGTTATAGGGCTGCTTTTTTCTCTATTTCTATATTATTTTTGTTGCCTGTATAATTAGGAATGGTAAAATATGTTATTGCTAAAAAGATTGCATATAAGAATATTAAAAATTATCACTGGAAGTTGGATTTTTGTATAAATATTTCTATTAACTTTGAAGTTTAATGCTCAGCTGTCTTGTGCTTCTGTTTTATGATGTTTATTCATTGTCAGCTATAAAGCGATGGATTCATTTTTGAGAGGAATCTATTGTAATACATTTAGACAAACTGCAGAGCAGATAAAGACTTAACTAAATGTCAAATTTTATACTAAAGCATTGATTTTTTTAATCTAGTGCTTGGAAAGATTTATGATTTGAGATTCTCTCCAACTTGTTTAATACTGATTTTTGGCTAATATAACATGAATATGAATACTCAGTTTTAGAAGGTACAGAATACTGAAAAGATCAGAATGGCTGCAGTGCTGCTTCTGAATGGTGTAACTTTTAGTTTCATTTGGAACTTTAAAGTTGAACGAGTTGGTAGAGAAGATTTTCAGTGAATATGGTAAAGACAGCAGAAATTTTGAAGTTTGGAAGAATAAAAAAGAAAAAAACCTTGATGGGATATTAATGTGAAGTTGGTAGAATATACTTGTGAAAGGTAAAATAACATTTTAGTATATAACATAACATTTGATTTTAGTTGGAGCACTTTTTAAAGTTATTAAGACTAGCCATTGGCTAGTAAAAGTTTTTTGTTTTAAATATCCTGAGGCTGGAAATATTTGAATAAAAAATAATTTTAGTCAGAAAATGGCTATGAGGTGTAATGATTTTTGTTTTTGTCAACCGAGATGTAAAACACTTCCATAATAAAACCTGAGACAATTGTAACAGTCGACTGTACTAGTTTCTTGCTCTGCAGCACAACTCCTGTCCCTCTGGCTGTTGGAAGTTTTCTTTTAATGCACTTATTTTTCATTATTCATTTTTCTCTAAGTGTCTCTTTTCTGTAACCACAGTCATCTTATACAGTTTTAGTTTTTAATATTAAATTGAAAATCAGAGAATTTCATACACATGGAACCTGCTGTTCCCGGAACAATCTCAGCCACAATTTTTATCAATTTATGTGGTTTGGAACTGGAAAGCTTATGAAGTGTCTTTTATTAACTGCAATTTTTTAAACCTTTCAAGAGATGAAACGAATAAAGAGGAAGAGGAAGATGATGAAGAAGTAGAAGAGGAGGAGGAGGAGGAGGAGGAGGAAGAGGATGAAGAGGATGATGACAACCATGAGGAAGAGGAGTTTGAATGCTATCCACCAGGCATGAAAGTCCAAGTGCGGTATGGACGAGGGAAAAATCAAAAAATGTATGAAGCTAGTATTAAAGATTCTGATGTCGAAGGTGGAGAGGTCCTTTACTTGGTCCATTACTGCGGATGGAATGTGAGGTAACTTGAGTTTTAGCTGGTGATTGCTCCCTGGAAACACTTACAGATAATTTCCTGTTTAAAAACGTAATTAATGAATTACAGGCTGATTAGTATTCTCATTGAGGCCATAGCACTATATAAACAATACGTAGTTTTTAGTATGTAAATGCTCGCGTAGTGACTTCCTACCTCCTGTTGTTAATAACTTGGAAGACATCCTTAGTGTCTGCCCAGTTAATGTTTACATTACATGTGGATTAATCAAAGCAAAATCCTTAAAGATGTGAAAGAGATTTGAGCTTCTTGATGTCTACAAGGCAGTGATCAGACTTCTTGCTCTCTTGCGTTTTCAACTACCTTGCCATAGTAACCTCTTTGTAATCCTCTTAAATCCTCACATGCGGACGTCATATTTCTCTCAGTAGGCAGGGAGTTTACAATGGAGATTTCTTAAGAAGCTTTAGCTACTTCAAGAAGGCCTTATCTCCTCCTTAACAGTGCTTGTGTTACAGTGTTTTTCAGAAGCCTCAGAAATGTATTTTCATGTTGGAAACACTATGGTTGCAATGTAAGCAGGTCTGCTTCACTTAACTAGAGTGCACTGCTTCCCTGTTCCTACCTGGGGAGCCGAAAGGCAAGACAGGTTCGGTTTCAGGTGGGGTTAAATGAAGTGTTTTTCTTCTTACAGGTTTCCTTTGGTTTATCAAAAGAAATTCTGTATTTTATAAGTTTGTCCAAAGTTTATGTCAGTTATGGGATCTGATCATGTAGGTATCTTTTAAGAAAAACCTATTTCATTTTGGAATGTTGAATACTATTTTTGAAATATAGCCTATGATAGGGTTGTAGCCCTTGGAAAGTTAATCATAGAAGTTTTAAGTGGTGGTTTCATGTGTGCCTAGTCTCTTCGAGGAGGAATATAGTTCTCATGCTTTATATTTAAATGATCATTTGTTTGGAAAGTCACTAAAAAAATTTCATCTTTTTCTTAAAAATAATACTCTGTTCCTTAAAAGTACATTTTGTGTTGTCCGGTTGCAGCAGTAGGAAACTCTAGAAACAAGTCTAATCTGATTTCCTTCTTTATTTTGAGAAAAGTACAGATCTGGTCCATTGGGCTTGTTCTTTATTTCTGACCAACAAGATTAACAAAAGTTTTGAATTTTAAGACTTATCTGTCATCGGTGTTGTCCTGAAACCAGCTTTTCCAGACACTGCTTTTAAAGTCATGTGTAATTAATTCTTTTGTCGGTTGGTTCTTATGCTGCCCTATGGTGCATGCTGTTTCTCACTGTAGTGCTGGCATGAATGATATGTTCGGAGGAAGATGCTTGAAATCTCAGATACAGTGGCTGTAGGAATATTTTGCCCACTCTTTGATATTTAATCATTTTGATCCCACTAAATGGTCTTATTAAACATGAATGTAGAGGGAGTTCCATTATTGCCTAAGATGTAAATGTTGAGTATGTTAGTTTAAAATTAGGAGAAAATTGAGTCGACAAAAATTAATTATTAAATAATGCCCACAGGATAGATAAAAGCCACATCATCTTTTTGCCCTCTCCTTTCAGTCCTTCTGGTTATTTTGCTAGTTTATTTTATTTTACATTTTATATATATTTTTGCTAGTTTATATATAACGAGGCAGTTTTCTTAGTAGCCTTTTAAAATGCTTTAAATTCTGTGATGAATGGATAGAATTTAAGCATTCTCTAACTTTCACTATAATCAGGGCCTGATTTTCTATTAATTATCTCAAACAAGAGGCTTAGTATGTATGTGAGTTGAGACATTGATAAAATTATTCTGTAGTTAAGATAACTTTCCGTTTCCTTAAGAAAAGATTGACTAAAGGAAAGTATCCTATCCGAGGAGCACTTGGGTTTTAGAGGGTAGAAAATGTTGGGTATATTAGCTTTGAAGTTGATAGTGGGTTGGGTAGGATAACGGGCGATATTCGAAGGAGGCATTCAGGTGTTTAATAATATAGAAGGCAAAGGAGAACTAACTGTTCAACAAGACTTGCTTGTGTCACTGAGAAGGATGCACTACTCCTGGCAGCTCAAGCATTTTGTGGTCTGAACGTTGACAAGAAGAAAACGTACATCTCGGTGAAGAACTGTAGGTGTGGATCCCCACACGCAGCATCGTAGAGAAAACAGCTGTACTTCAGTAGATGAAGCAGTTAATTTCCTTATAGTCAATATCACAGCATCCTCTTTCTCGGCAATAGTAACCAAGGTCTGTTCTGCTGATGAATAAGAAATCACTGTGGGGAGCATTGGAGATCTTGTTCCCCAGCATGTGTCGTCAGTTTGACTGAAATATCATTTTAAAAAAAGAAAAGAAAAAGAAATCACATGTAATTTTTGCTGCTCCTTGTCTGAAGTTATCTAATGAGGACTGCAACAAGCCCTTATCACCTCTACAACTGTTTTCACATTATTTTCAGAAATTCAGCTTGATCTCTGAATTTACACTTGATGTGAAATTGAAAATGAAGATTTATGCATGAAGGTTCATGAAAGTAGTTTTGTTTTCAGTGGCAGCCGTTCATTACTATGGCAATTTAGAAAATTTCATGTGGGGCTGTTTATGTGAGTTTTGTGTGATCTGAAACATTTTCTAGCAAACGGTTTTCTTAAAAAGAAAATATCTGTTCTACATTATTCTTTTTTTCTAAAGTGCTATATAAACCTTTACATTAATATAATTATGATTTATACCAT